AGCTCTCAGTGAAGATCACAAATCCTACTTTGTTTATCTCACACCACAAGCCTATTTAGGCAATCTCGTCACTCATTTTTCCATCTACATCCTTATGGCCTTGAAGTATTTATATCAACTATCACTCTCCTGAGTTCCACATAAATATAATTGTTCTCTAGACACTTTTGCTTCTATATATTGTAGACTACACATTCATATTTCCTTTTCTAAATGAAGGGTACTTCCATATATTCCTACTAGAAATAGAGTTATATTAAATCTCTACTGCTGGTTCTTCCCACAACATTAACTCAATTAGTGAATTAATTGTTTTGAGTTTCTGTCAATTTAGTTACATCAAAGTTTTGGACTGAAGTTTCATTTCCTCATTGGCTTTTAGAGAGAGGCCTCCCCTTTCACATGCATGCCTCCAGCCTGGCAGCTTGCTTCATCAAAGTCAGCAAGAGAAAATCTGTTAGCAACACTGAAATTACATCTTTTTATAATAACCAGAGAAATGATAATGCATAACATTGGTCATATACATTGGTTGGAAGTCAGAATATTTAGTACATTTGCAATGGGAAGGAATGACACAAGGGTGTGAGTACCAATGAGTGTGGGTTACAGGCTGCTATCCTAATAGTCAGGGTACCACGATTTCTTACCTTCTATTTTATATCTCCATCTCTTAATTGCTCTATACGTTTTTCTGAATAATTATTTAAAGTTTTCCAATTTACCAATTCTCTGTTAGTGGTGTCCAATCTACAGTATAACACATACACTGAGATTCTCTAATGACTATTTTTCATTTCCATGATTTCTATTTAGATTGAAACGTGCCTATTTTCTTTTCTTCAAATTCCTTTTCTCATTTTCTTTTTTCCTTTTTTGGAGATTTGAATCAATTTATTTTAAAGCCCAATTTATTTTTCTCTTTTGTTTCCTCTCCCTTGGGTGAAAATCTTCTGACTTCTACCTTATGACCATCTCTCATGGCAGTAGTCTCTCAGTGTGCTTTGTAATTATTGTTAACCTATGAACATGTCTTTAGTAGAACTTATCTTCCATGGAAGCACATGCAAGTTCCATTTCTATCTTAGCTTCTGGAGACATCACTATGAAAGTGATTTTTCTGTTGCTTCTAAGACTATAATACTTACAGATTCTAAAACACGTTCTTCCTTAAGTATCTATAATCACTTTCCCTGCCTTCCCTCCTACTGTAAAATCATTCTTAACAGATTATCTTTCCAGAAACTTTATGTCCAGCTCCCTGTCTCTAAATACTGAAATTCTATAGTACTTTTTCTTATATTTTCTTCTCTATCAATACCAAATCATTTAGCTTTAAATTTTATCTGTTGTGGAATGACCCACAAGTCCCTCACTGTCTCTTCCTATAATTGCATTAACTTATTATAATTTAATTACCATTAATTACATACTTAGTTTTCCAATTCCAGTTTGGTATCTCCACATTGATATTTAATAGGTATCACATTCTTAACATTTCTAAAATGTTTACTTCAGGGGCCAGAGATTTAGCACAGTGGTTCCGCCACCTGCCTCGCAAGCGCAAGGTCCCAAGTTTGATCTCTGGTACCTAAATAAATAAATAAATAAAATGTTTACTTCAATATATTCATAATATCAAAGTGAAGGAGATAAAAGAGTAGTAGCACTTGAGGATAGAGATGAAAAATCTAATTCTAGATAGTACCTCAATGATCTTCAAATTTCGCAGTTAGAATATGAGAGGAATTCTACTATGAATCTAGATTTCTAGGCTACATACAGAGATTCTGCTATGGTAGCTCTAGACTAGGATCTTGGAAACTATCTTCACATCACAGGCAATTGTAGTACAGGGGATCTAAGGATAATATTTTGAAAATTTTTGTCCCACTTAATGAAGCTGGTAAAATATTTCATATTATGCTGTCAATTTTGTATGAATTAATAAAGGACAAGACAGGAGTAAATCTTTTCACATAGACAACGGGATAAGGCTGAAAATTTTTAATTGTGTTTTAGTTGCATTTCAAATTAGACTTTCTTTCCTTTCCTTGTAGGCCAATTTTAGCACAATATTCATCAGATGGACTTACCTCTTCTATTTATATGAAGTGGCTTTGAAAAAGCTACCTGTGTTGATATATACAAAAAAAGACTGAAGATAATTCTGTCATTTCTCAATTCTTCATTGTACTAATATATTCCCATTGATGGGGCCAAATACATAACACCTACAATTTAAAGGAGAAATGGTGTATTTAGCTCACAGTTTCAAAAGATTCACTCTGATGGTCACCTGGCTCCAACATAGGAACATCATAGCAAGGTCCTGAGTTCAATCCCCGGTACAAAAAAAAAAAAGAGAATAAGCCATTAGATTCTGCTTATTGTTTTCTAGGCTTTCTCCAGCATGATTCTCCAAATTTTTCCAAATTCCTCCAGTAAGCCAGTTCCAAAAGTTTCTGAACTGCACCCCCTTCTCTGGTATCAGTTTTCTGTACCTATTCCTTCCCTGATGCTAGGATCAAATACCTGACAAAAAGTAAAGGAGAAAATGGTTGATTTGGCTCAGTTTCAAGTTATTCATTTCTTGGTCAGCTGGATCCAGCACAGGCCATCATGCAAGAAGTATGTGGCAGGGAAAATCTGCTTGGTTTATGGTGGCTAAGAAGTGGAGCAAAAAACCAGCTCCAGTGTACCATGCATGACCACTAGATGCACTTGTTCCCCGCATCTCAGAAAAATGCTTCCTCTGATCATCTTAGCTGCTACTTTTTAATGAAATATTAATGATGAAGCCAGAGTAGCAGAATTGCTAAGTTTTACAGGTTTGCCACCAACAATCCTTGTGTGACCAGCATTTAATTCCATCATTTTCAGAAATTCTGACTAAAAAATATGCCTCAATTTTAATTGATAGAAAGACATGCTATTTCCTTAGCAGAAGGCCTTCCATGATATACAGAGTTTTAGACTCATGCTCTGATACCATTTGCCTTTTAGATTATTCAAATCACAATTACATTTCACCTAGATTCTTATGTAGTAATAGAAATTAATCATCTCTCTTCAATTCTGAGCATGCTAATAGAATATAACTTTTGTTTTAAGGAATCAAGATATAATAGCTTCCCGAAGACAATGAGTAACCTGTAATAATTTTGAAATAATTGTAAATTTTATTTCTTTGTATGAAATAAGAGTTCCTCAGATTGATGATTCAGATATCACTAGAAATATACATAATTTATGAAATTAAGAATAGGATACTTCAGTGTTATTATTCTTGTCACCATTTTATTAATAGATAATATTGCTAAAGTGTTTTATATGTATATTAAATTCTTAACAGAAGGTGTTCATTTAGGTTTCCACTAAAAGTAATTAGCTCACTGATAATAGTGTCTCAGATGAATTTCTATGGTTATGAAAGGTGAGTGATTTCCTCTCTTCTCAGAGAATCAGAGTCTGTTTTGTTGGAGAGCTACAGTGAAGTGCTTTCCTTGGAGTTGAGAAGTAGACTGGATATGGTATTTTTTATCCTAGTTTAACTTTTCTAAGACTCATTTAAAGACGGTTCTTTTTCTGAGGAAGGCATATTGTGTGTTTGAATAAACTTGGGTTTCTTGCGTTTGTGATAGGCTTTCTTACCAAATAAGAGAATTTATAATATTTAGTAATATAAGAACTATATCTGCCCTGATAGTGCTATTGAAATTGAAATTTGTTTTATTAATAGCTGAGATTTTCAAAAGAGAATAATGTAACAGGTCCTCATAAGATTTGGAAAGTAAATGATAAAAGATAAAGTAATAAGGGATTTGGGAGGAAATCTTGTGCAAAAAGGTAAGTAATTTTCTAGGCACAATATTTGAACAGGTTATTGTTGTCAGAGGCCTGCCAAGGGAAGATCTGAGGTGCCTAGTTTTGCTGGATACCATGTGGAGCCCTTACTACATTGTCATCTGTTCATTCTGCTCACTGTTAAATAAAAGATCTTATGTTTCATTGTCTAATTGTTATTTGATCTAATGATATTCTTTTTTATTCATATCTGTTATCTATTTTTTCCTGTGGCCAGTAACTAACAGGAGGAATAGCTATTCAATTAAGTGGATATTTACCTAACAGAAGAAATAAAGATGCAATTAAACAATATCTATACTTAAAATAACAGTAGCTAAAACAAGGTAGGAAGTGATTTCCTTCCCATATAAAGTCTGAAGCAGGAATTCTGGCATTGATGTGGTAATTCCACTTTCATCCTTTTCATCCTTTTGTCTTATTGCCCTACTGTGCTTAACACATAGAAAGGTAGAAGAAAGGACCACATCTTTGTTCATATCATTTCTAGTCACATTCCAGTTATTATATCTTGATCAAATGGCAATCCTTAGTTTCAAGGAAGGCTGAGGAAGGTAGAGTTTAGCTGCACTGATGTATTCCTAAGTAAGAAGGAGACAATGAAAGTTACCAGACTTGGAATTTGTTATCACATGTATACTCTGGTTTCTTCCCTCAGTGACCTCAAAATCTTCTATAAGCATTAAAAACTATGCATTGTTAACTATACCAAAAGCAATATAAAACAAGAATTAAGTAAGAATTATACAAATATTATCAATTTAAAAAGGGAAAGTTTACACATGATATAAATGCTTAACATTTGAGAAGATAGAACATTCAAAAGTAGAAATCCACCAGGGTATTGAAACTGTATTTTAGATGAAAGAGAAAATTCCTTACTTAAAAAAGGTATTAAAATACCTAGTAAATAGAACTTTTTCAAACAACACTCACTTCGCCCACTTCTATACCAGTGAGTGTGTTCAATATGTTTGGTATGATTAAGCAGAGGGAAAACTGGAGACTAACTTACCCAAATCTTTCACAAGTCTTCAAGTTTCCCAAGAAAAGACAATTCCCTTTATTAGATATTTCTACCTAACTTACCAAATAGGACCTTTGATTTTTTTTTTCCCACTTCTTTCTTTTAGGGTGTTTTTCAGGACATAATGATCACTTTTTGACAATTCACCACAGGAAGAATGGGAAGCCACTATTCATCTATCACCAATCACAAGACCTTGAGAAGAGCCTGGATATTGCCCCTCAAAAGATATATAAACATAGATACCATTCCTCTTCTGAAACTCAGATAAGCAAAACCCAGCAAATAGTTAACTCAGCATTTCCTAGAACTGCATATGACCCATCTCTCAATCTGTTGGCTATGGCTGGTCAAGATCTTGAAGTGGAAAATCTTCCAATTCCAGCAGCAAATGTAATCGTGGTGGTAAGTATCAGGTTTAACTGATGCTTATGTTGGTGCTCTGTGGTTGATTAAAAAAACTAACTGTGAATATTTACTATTGAATCTCAATGATTATTTACTATACCACTTCTCGTTCTCTGATTTTTTTTGTTACTTGCTTATTGTCTTCTTTCTTTCTCCCATAAAATCAGAAAACTTGTGTGTATCCTCTGCTTGCAGCACAATGCGTGGTGCCTCGTAGATACTTCATAAATTTTTGAGTTAAAAATTACTTTAGAAGGCTTTAGAGTACAGCAGATCATATCCTGTACTTCCTTCTGTATAATGTGTATATAAAAGATACACCTTAGTCTGAGCCTATTTAAATAAATAATATTTATTTAAGATTCTCTGGTCATTTGACTGAAATTATAATACATTTTAAAACAACTGGAAGGGAGAAAGTATTGTAGGACAGAGTACTCTGTTACTGGAGTAAATGAGATTGTTTGGGAATAACTGATGGATAATATTCCTAATATCATACTGAACAAGCATCAACCTATATTAGTTAAGGTAATGCAAAAATCCCATTGCTTATATTCGTTTTTTGTGTTTGTTTTTTTGAGACAGGGTCTTGCTTTGTACTTCAGGCTAGCCCTGAACTCACTATGTAGCCCAGCCTAGCTTCAAACTTACAGTGAACCTCCTGCGTCTGCCTCCCAAGTGCTGGGATTACAGGCATGTGCCACCATACCCAGTCCATTGCTTATATTCTGGAGTAGATAACCCAGGCCAGAGGTTTTCAAATCATCTGTTGACACCTGTTTTTGACTCTAATCCCTCTCAAGTTTAAAATCATAATCGAAGGACCAAATAAAAATTACAAATCAATTGGCCATTACACAATTTTATATATGCATTAATACATCATGTTGTACCCATATGTGTAAATCAAATTTTTATAAAAATAAAACCATAAAAACTAAATATCAATAGTTAAATGTTTATTATCTCATTCCTGATAAAAGAATAATAAAATGAGTTGACTTTTGAAGTAAAGATAAGTCCATGGATCTATTTGCATTTTATAACCGCTCTCTGTACCAAGTATAATTAACTTTAACATGCTTCTTTTTCTTTATTTTTTATCTGCTAGATATAATACACTTTATTTAGTATTGAGAATCAAATATCTATTCACTGATGTTTTCAACTAGCACATATTGAGCATCTATTTGACCCAGGTGTCACTTGGATTATCTGCAAATAGAAACAAATGAAATAGTCTCTGATTTTGCCGGAGAAATGTCTTGTGTCAATAATTATATAATAAAATCATGAATCCAGAACACAAGATGAACTCTGTTAAGAGAAAATATGCAGGTTATCTGGCCATGTGATGGACCTGAACTTTTAAAATTTTATTTTGTTTTGCTTTGAGTTTCATGAGTAATAAATGTTCTGAAGGGGAAAGTCATGCACAACATCTATTCAGTGAAGATAAATGATGTTAATGATGATGTCTTTGGATCTGTGTATGGTAATGTGAATGCTAGGGCTCATGGGAGATCTTGCCTATAGTGACCATCATATACCCACTGTTATTAACTCCCAAAGTGACTATGAATTACAGTTCAAGAGATACTTTTTTATCCTGTAATGTCATGTTCTGTCTAATTAATTTAATATCATGGAAAATAAAAGGCATCAATAAGGAACTCTCATGGGTCATTTCACTTTTACTCTCTTTGTGGTTTAGAGATTCATGAAAAAGCTATGCCTTTTCTTTTGAGTGTTGGAAGCAATAGGCGATTTTATTACATTACTCTTACCTAACTTCTCTTGATCTAGCTTCTGACTGTGTTATGGCTTTTGTATCTCGCAACAGTAATTGCTAGTTCTGTTTCCTGTAATCTACTTACATTACTTATGCACATGGTGATTTACTAGAAAAACCATAGAGGTAAAGTTATTTTTTAAAAATAAATCAGTAATATTCAGCTTCCTCGAAAAGGAAAAGGCTGACATGCAATTAAATATCAGCCAATTTGAAGGGTCATTCTATGTAGAAAAGCAATTTAGGAATGGAATGTAGAAGATTCAAGTGGTATATTCTGGAATAATTTATCAGTGCAAAACTTATTGCTTGGCAAATATTGCAGTGGTACTAAAGAATTATTTTGTGGCTTAATTTATATTATAATGAGCAGTGAGAATGAGTACATTTCTTGTGGTGGTGAATTATTGGGATTTTTTTCCAAACAGCATAAACCTCCAACCTCCAAAATATATATGTAACTTCTAATAGGAGGGAGAGATTACCTTTTTCTTCTCCAATATTTCTTTCCTTCTCTGTTTTTGCTATCATTGACAGAGAGTTTTAGAATGATAAATTTAACAAGGACATGTGTCCCTCCTCCTTTCCTGATTCCTAATTGCCACCACAAAGCATTTCATAAAAGATTTGTCCACAAGTGAATTTTTTTCTTTTTTGCCTTTCTTTTGTAATAAAAAAAATCTGTAGTTTATTTGTTCCATGGGAAAGAAAGCATAATTAGAATGTTTATCCCAAATGAATGCTAATTATGTTCCAGAAACTCAATTAAGAAGTTGTTATTAGGATTTCTGTGCAAGTACAATGTAGACGAAAAATTAATGGCCTCGAGGTCAGAGCTGAGGTAAGAGGGGAAAAATGCCTTTAGTTCCATGTTGCTGGAAATTCTGTAACTCTTATCACTGGATCCTCAGCATATTTTCCAAGTCACAAGGCCACACACCAGGAAGGAGAAAACCAGGTGTCCAAGAGTCCAGGTTGCTAAGGGAACAGTGTTCTAGACTAGCCAAAATCTGAGAAAACAAGAGGCTAGGAGGTCTTTGGAATAAAAGGAGTGATTTTTTAGGATCAGCAGAGAGGGCAGAGTTAGAGAGATTATAATCTACTCCATGGATGGACTGGAAAAAAGGAAAATTGAGAAAAAAGATGGAGAAGGAAGAAGCAGAAAGGAGGGAGGAAAAATTATAATGGGGAGGGAAGAGAAAAGGAAAGGGATTAGAGGGTATAGTTGTAGTTCTTCTAAAGCACATGAGAAGATGATGCTACATTTTCAGAAGGCTGGAATGGTCTCTATTACATTTCTAGAATCCTGTAACTTTTTATCTTCCTTATCCCTCACCCAGACCAGCAGCCAGGCATTCTATTTTTTGACACAAAATAGTCTTGCAAATAATTTTATCAGATATTTTACTCAGAAGACTATTAAAAATGTTAAAAGCTTTCCATAACTGTGTTTCACTGGGTTTCAGTTACATCTTGAGATCTGGCTTGAATCTCACCTCAGTTTGTTTCTGTTGTTGACCCATTGAGGAGATTTGCTACCAAGAGAAAATCCCTAGCTGTAATTTGAAGGGTTTTGAAAGTCTCTCCTTCTGGTTATCTTGCCACAGTGAAGACATTTTATTAACATTTACTGTGTTGTGTGATGTGGATGAATAATTGTTAGATACCTTTTCAATCAACAAATTGGTTCAACTATACTTTTATATTTGTGTATCAAATATCCCAAAGGATGAGCTTAACTATGGAGAGAGTACTGAGGTTCAGCTATGTCAGAGAAAGTGTATTGGTAATAAGTATTTTGTTGCAAGTGACAAAAACATCTAACACAAATGAGAGAAAATGCAATAGCTCAAGGACCAATACTTTTATAGGAAATCTCACATGGTTTTCATCAGGGGCTCAAATTATAGGACCCAGATCAATCTCCCAAATCTACTTCCTCTGAGTCAATTTAAATTCTCAGAACAACTCTCTTCTCAGTCACAACATGGGTTTTTTTAAATTTTAGGATTTTCATCAATAAAAATTTATATTCAGTTGGAAAGAATGTCATAACTATCAGTAACAATTTGTGGCCATGTGATAAGATTGGACTTACACCTCAAACATAAACCATAAGTCCCAGTCCTAGAGTTTTCCTTAAAAAGGTAAAAGCACTATCTATTATACATTTTGATTCTTATTTACACTTTCAGTTTCTCACACCAGAGAAACTATTCTGTATTTACACATGTGTGTCTTATTTATTTCACTTAAGAGCACGGCCTCAATGTACATCTATTTAGCTGTAAATATCTCTAGTTTCTCATTCTTTATGGTTGAGTAGTACTCCATTTTATAAAAAAAAAAAAAACCCACATCTTCTTTATCCAGTCTCCAGTTAATGGGCAATTGGGCTGTTTCCAAGTTTTAGCTATTATAAACTGTACTGCTATAAACATGGGTGCACATAGGAAGAAAAGGTCCAAAGGGGTAGGGGAAAGGAAAGAAGGGAAAGGAATAAATATTAGAAAAGGAAAAAAATGGAAACAAAGTCTTTGTAAATAGGGAGGGGTAGAGAGGTTGAAAGGAGGGCAGGGGAATGGGGAAAAAAATAAGAACCAAGATGCATCGTGTAAAGGTACAGATTCCCAATGATGAATGTCCTCATATTGTATAAATAAAATGTACCAATAAACTTAATCAATAAAAAAAAGTAAAAGCAATGTATGGAAGGGAAGGTTATTTATGTGAAAACTGGAGCACTATTAACAAGCGAAGGCAGCATGTCAATGTATGCTAAAGCAGAGTATGTGAAATTCAGTTTTTATTAAGACAATAAAGACCTTTTAATGAAACAAGACTTATAAAGACTTAAAACTTGGCCTAAGGATGCACCACTATAAAAATGAATGACAAAGGGCATGCTGTAACCCCTCCAAAGGTGCCTCAAATAGGCAGCAAATTGGCTATGACATAGGAGAAAGTTGAGTTGTCAACAATATATCCTAAAACCTAGATTATTTGTCAATAAGAAAGACTGTGTTTTAGTCCAATCTATTGAACCTGTTATGTTATATCCCCCAAAAGTTTCAAATTTAAGGAAACCCCTATAGCCTGTCTACTTATGACTGTTTATATAATGGGCAGCAATAAGGCTACACTACATTCCAGTAGATGTCTGAGCCCATTTGTGAGCTAACTTTCTTGTGATTGGCAAAGT